CGCGGGCCTCTCACTGCTGTGGCCTCTCCCGTTGCGGAGCACAGGGTCCGGACGCGCAGGCTCAGCGGCCATGGCTCACAGGCCCAGTGGGATCTTCCCAGGCCGGGGCACGAACCCGTGTCCCCTGCATCGGCAGGCGGACTCCCGACCACTGCGCCACCAGGAAAGCCCCAAGCAATATTGTTTTTTAAAGGAAGAAAACAGCCGCGCTCGGGGACAGACCCTGGCATGCGTGCACACAGGTCCTCCTTCCTGCCTCTGTCTGTACCTGCCCCAGCCCCCCTCCTGCCTCTGTACCTGCAGCAGACACGCCGGCACCGACTCGCCGAGTGCAGGGGCCCTGCGATGTCGCGTCCCGTGGTGGGAGCCCTGTCTCCGGCGGCGGCTCTGTCTGTCTCCAGCCCCCTCCGCAGGCACTCATGGACGCTCTCCCCGAGGCTTCTTAGGGCAGCAACCCCCACTGTGGTTCTGTGGCTCATGTGTCCTGCGGTTGGAGCCCTTTGTCCCAGTCTACATGCCAGCTCCTGGGTGGACGGTTCTGTGCTGGCAGATGTCCAGTCTCCACCCACCACAGTGTGACAGAAGAGTCCCTCACCCCAAAGCTCCCACGCTGCCCCCTTCCAGTCATGCCCTCCCACCCCAAACCTCGGGCAGCCGCCCATCTGTCCTCTGTCCCTAAAGCTGTGCATTTTCCAGAGCGGCAGATCACTGGGGTCACACTCACTTTTGAGTCTGGCTTCTTCTGTACAGCAAAATGCATCTGAGAGTCGTCTGCATTGCTGAACGGACGGGTTTTCTCCCGTCACGGGCACGATCCCACTGTGCGGCTGCACCCTCACGGGGGAAAGGGCAGCCGGTCGTTTCAGTTTTTGGTAATTACGACGAAGCCACCATCAACTTTTCTGCACGTGATTTTGTGTGAACGTACCTCTTCATTTCTCTTGAGTAAACACCTAGGAGTAGGATTGCTGAGTCACGTGATAAGTGTATGTTTAACTATACGGGAAACCGCCAAGCTGTCTTCCAGGGCAACTGCACCAGCCTGCATTCCCACCAGCACGGCTGAGCATCCCTGCCAGCATTGGGTGGTGTCGGTTTTACATTTTTGCCATTCTAACAGATTGCGGTGGTATCTGATTTTAATTTGCAATTCCCCAATGAAAAATGACGTTGAGCGTTTTTTCATAAAAGTGATTAGTTGCCGTCTGTACATCATCATCTTTGGTGTGGTGTCAATTCAGGTCTTTTGCCCATTTAAAAACTTGGGTTGTTTTCTTTTTGAGTTTTGAGAGCTCTTTATATATTCTGGATACAAGTCCTTTATCAAAAGTGTAATTTGCAAATATTTTCTACCAGTCTGTGGTTTGTTTTCCATTTTCTTAACAGTGTCATTCACAGAAAAAAAAGTCTGTAATTATGATAAAGTCCAATTTATCAATTTTTTCCTTTATGACCTCATATCTTAAAAGCTCTTTGCCTAATGCAAGGTCATGCACATTTCCTTCTGTACTTTCTCCTAGAAGGTCTATAGTTTTACATTTTACATTTAGGTCTATGACCCACTGTGAGTGAATTTCTGTGTAAGACCTGAGGTGTGGACCGAGGGTGACCAGCTCTCCTGACATGGGTCTGTTGAGAAGACGACCGTCCTCCACTGGATTCCCCTTCACATTGGTCAAAGACCGGCTGACATGCGTGGCTGTAGTTCTGGGCTCTCTGTTCTACCCCGCTAACCTGGGTGTCTATCCTTTGCCAGTGATAAAAACCTGGTACTGGGAGTCTTCCAACTTTGTTCTTCTTTTTCAAATTTGTTTTGGTAATTCTAGCTCCTCTGCTTTTCCATATAAACTTTAGAATCAGTTGTCAACATCCAACAACACTGATACCTCCAATCCACGAACATTCATTTATTCCTTTCTAGGATTTCTTTCAGCCAGTTTTACAATTTTCAGCATGGAGATCCTGCACATATTTTGTTAGTTATACCAAAGTATTTCACTTTTTTATGCTGTTATAAACAGTGTTTAAAATTGTTTTCAGATCTCAATTGTTCATTGCTACTATACAGAATTAGAAATAATTAAAAATATTTTTTCCTTGTATCCTGCAACCTTACTAAACTTACTAGCCTAGGAGGGTTTTTTTGTGTGGATTATTTGGGATTTTCTACATAGACAATCCTGGCATCTGCAAACAGGTATTTTTATTTCTTCCTTTTTAATTTCTATACCCTGAATTTCCTTTCCTTATCACTATTATTTTTAAAATTATACAAGGATACAAATACACATTTCAAAAGCTAAAACCATTTTGAGACTACTCAACAGAAAATAAAAACAGCGCGGTAGTCCTAATAGTTCAACGTCTAAGGGTTTCAAGGGCTTTTATGAAGGGCTGTGCATCACCTACTTGATATCCTGACAATCAGTACAACCATAACTCAAGTGTCTCTGTAGTTAGCGAGTAGTTTAATTTATCACGAATATAACCCTATGACTTGGTAACTGAACTCACAGCTACAAGACTGAACTATTTCAGGAACACACAGGCTGGCTCAGCTGACCACGGGTCACCTAAGTCCTGACCCCAGGGCTCAGGCTCAGGTGGTTTTTCATAAGAGGCCACAGACCATTCAGGACAAATAAAGTCATCTGTAGGGTTAGGAGAGGGATGAGTACATGTTTCCCCTCTAACTGGCAGCACCAGAACATCAGAAGTGACGGCACTCACCATGAGTAAAGCTTAATAGCTCAAAGCAGAACGGGACCCAAACATCGTTACAAATACGTCCTTTTCTGTAAGGAATGAGAACTATGTGGTTTTAGGAAGAGGAAGGAAATGTTGCCTCTTTGTTTAACTGATTCATTCCCTCCCTCCTTCATTCACTAATTAAGGAACAGACACTGTGTCCAGGTTTAGGCCCTGGAGACAGAGCAGAGAACAAATGCTTACATTCAGGATGGCCTAATCTCGTTAGAACCCTAAGTCGGATTGGTGATGCTTGGAGCATTTATACTCTCAGCATAAAAAGACTGGCCATGGGGCTTCCCTGATGGCGCAGTGGTCGAGAGTCCGCCTGCCGATGCAGGGGATGCGGGTTCGTGCCCCGGTCCGGGAGGATCCCACATGCCGCGGAGCGGCTGGGCCCGTGAGCCATGGCCGCTGAGCCTGCGCGTCTGGAGCCTGTGCTCCGCAACGGGAGAGGCCACAACAGTGAGAGGCCGCCCCGGTCCGGGAGGATCCCACATGCCGCGGAGCGGCTGGGCCCGTGAGCCATGGCCGCTGAGCCTGCGCGTCTGGAGCCTGTGCTCCGCAATGGGAGGGGCCACAACAGTGAGAGGCCCGCGTACCGCAAAACAAAAAAAAAAAGACTGGCTATGAAATAAGTATAAAAGCAGGATATTTTATTCCGAAGTAGAGTTCTTTCCTTCCTGTTTCACAAGGGACGTGCACGCCGCTGCCTTGATTACCTTTGTGGCATTTAATGAATTTACTGTGACCTGAGATTTCTGCTCAGAACTTACAAGATAAATCATCTGTTGGACAGTAACTTACATTCCAGCCCGTGGCTTGTTTTCTGCTACTGTCCAACCATCATTTAATTTACCCTGAATTCATGTTTTCTTTTCCCGACTGAAGGCTTGTGGAGACCAGGAGCAGAGCCTTCTAGGTCTTTACAAGTGCCCGGCATGGGACCCTCAACCGTGCCACCCACAGTGACAGACTCGGACAGACTGCCTGTCCCCAGAGGGTGCAAAGTGCTGGGCTCAGAAGCACTGTAAAGCTTCAGAATGTTTCTCTAGCTTCAATAAGAAAAATACTCACTTCTTATCAAGTTAACTGGCTGAGTGCCTTAGTGCTACTTTATTTTCAAAGCATTTCGAGTGTATGCAGTTTTTAAAGAAATAGATACTTTAAAGAGAAAAAGTACAGATTCTGGATCCTGAAGAAAAGGAGTCTAGAGAAAATAAGTGACTGAACTCGTGCCAAAAAAATTAGGAATGCGGTCCTGACTCTAGGATGTTGAAATATTCTAACTGTTGGTCACCCTAACAAGAATGGAAAGCCAGCACCCTTAACCAGACCCAACTTACTTGGAATTGGACGTGGTTTCCTAACGCCCCCTCAAGTTCAAATGTATCAGCTAATGGTGTGGATTCACCACCTCGCGGCTACAGTCAGAGGGGAGCTGGGACTCAGCACCGGACACCTGTGACCCCGGGAGCCTGCTTTTATCACTAGAGTAACGTGGCAACCCACAAAGAAGGTTCTGGTGGGCAACAGTGAAAGCAGCATGTCCCCTCACTGGTGGGGACACTGAAGTCCTGCTAGGAAGTCCTCCCACCTTGACGGTCTGGCAGCATCACCTGGCCTCACCTGCAGTGACCTTAACCCTGAGCAGCCACCGAGCCCCTCCACTGATGTTCATAAAAAGCTTGTTTCCCCTTCATATCTGTGAGGCAGCATTTAGGGAAACATTTCTGGAGCCACTGGAAATAAGGAAACACACAATCTACTAAAATGATAATTATTCGCAACAGCCTCCTGTAGTGTTTGGATCTTTGGGCCTATCCTGATTCACTGAATGATGATGGTTTCACCGTCTTAGGATATTAAACCAAAAAGTTTTTCTTCTACTTGTAATATTCACAATGATATTTTTATCATGATAATAATGCTTTATATATGTCTCACATCTATATCTTATTATCAAATAAAATATTATTATAAAATATAACGTTTGCTATTTTATACTACACTGTTGAGCTAGCTTTATTTTTGCCCTGATTATAGAAGTAATACAGGCATTTTCTATTTTTTTCAATGGATTTAAAAAGTCTTATCTCAGATTTCCCTGGTGGCGCAGTGGTCAAGAATCCGCCTGCCAAGGCAGCGGACACGGGTTCAATCCTGGTCCGGGAAGATCCCACATGCCGCGGAGCAACTAAGCCCGTGCACCACCACTACTGAGCCTGCGCCCCAGAGCCCACAAGCCACAACTACTGAGCCCACGTGCCACAACTACTGAAGCCCACGCGCCTAGAGCCCGCGCTCCACAACAAGAGAAGCCACGGCAATGAGAAGCCCGCGCGCAGCAACGAATACCCGACACAGCCAAAATAAATAAAATTAAATAAAATTAAAAAAAATCTTAATCTCATCAAATTCTTACAATAACACCCTCAAATCCAAAGATTTACGTGACTTACCCAGCACCACTGGGACTGGTTAGAGGTTAGCTGGGCGAGTCTACCTGTTAATGCCTAATCTGATTCTTCGCTACAACATACGGCTACAGCTTTAAAAATCAGAGTCGGTAACTTCAGGTTATCAACTGTAAACCTAAATTTAATTGGGGGTCCGTGGACTTTGTTCTCAGTGTTGGAAGGTTCTTTTCTTTTTTAAATTAAATTAAATTATTTTTTATACAGCAGGTTCTGTTCTTACTAGTTATCTATTTTATACATATTAGTGTATATATGTCAATCAGTGTTGGAAGGTTCTGAGGTCACCATGGTTTGTGTGGGGGGAGCTGGGCATGTCTTCCACCCAGTGGAGCGTGTTTCCTATGCTACAGAGATATGCTTTCATAAAAAAACATGATACATTTAAAACTTCTTTCAGGAATGTTTAAGTGTCCCAGAGCAGTGCTGGGCTGCGTGAACGAAGCCTGCGCAGCTCGGGGGAGTGGACTTCTACCTCAGTAGCGTCACCGTGACAACAGCACGCGGGTCTCAGGGACAGAAACATACTGCAGATCCCTTTCAGACAAAATTCTGAAGCCCAAGGCCGGAGGAGATGTGGGCATTCAGAGGCGCTCCGGCCAGGGCTCCAGGTCCCTACTGGCTCGAACGCCGGGCCGCTCCAGGTGGGCCGGGAGCCGGCCCCGCCCACTGCGCAGTGCCGACCGGGAGCCCCTGCTCAAAGCACCCCTCACCCAGAAAGAGGGAGCCCTCAGCCACGGTTCTAAATCCACAGAAGCTCCACGAACGGTTACGAGCACGCTTCGCAATTATAATTCGACGCGTGATATCAGCCGCACTGCAAACATTCGAGCAAACGCCGTTTCCCCTTTGATGCCTAACTGAGGCCGCACCTTGGTGAGGTCTTTGTACAGCTCTGGGTACAGCATTGCCATCTCGGGCTTCACGTCTTGGTCCAGCACCAGGGAGAAGACAGGGAACATGGTGTAGACCGTCGCATACCTGGAGGAGTGCAGGGAGGTTACACGGGGCCCGGCACCACCAGGAGCACACCTCTGAGCCAGAGGCCAAAGGTCAGACCCTAAGCAGAACAAAAATAAGTTGGCAGCCAAGCACGACTTGTCCTAAAACTGAATACTTACCCACAGCACAGGAGCAAGGTCTACAAGCCTGCGGACAGGCAGCAGGATCCTTTTTTTTTTTTTCTTTTTTTAATTAAAGCTTTTATTTTGAGATCACTGCAGAAGTGAGTACATTTATCAGAAGTAACACAGAGAGATCACGGGGACCCTTTAACCAGCTTTCCCCAGAGGCAGCATCTCCAAAACTGCAGCCAATCTCCAGCGGGACGCCGACACTGACATGGTCCAGACACAGCATCCAAACCCACCAGGGCCCCCTGAAGCCTGCTTCTCTCCCAGCCCCTCTGAACCCCTGGCAACTGTCCTCCATCTTATAACTTTTGTCACTTCAAGGTGACACGCACGCACCACACAGCAGGTGACCCTGGGGTTTGGCTTCTCATTCAGCCCCAGTCCCTGGAGGGTCACCCAGGTGTGGCCATACGACAGGCCGTCCTCTGGTTGCTGAGGAGCGTTCGTGGTTGTGGACAGAGCAGCTCTGCACCCCGGTCATTCTCTGAAGTGCATCTGGGTCGTTCCCAGTGTCCGGTTATTACAAATAAAGCTGCTATAAACATCCACTGCACAGGTTTTTTTGTAAAAGTTAAGTTGCACTTATTTGAGACACGGGTGCCACCTGGGATCCTATATCCACAAGTTCAGGCACTGGGTCATAGGGCAGCTGTATGTTTAGTTTTATAAGAAACTGCCAAACTGCTTTCCAGGGCGGCTGTACCAGTTTAGATCCCTGCCAGCATGTATGAGGGATCCGGATGCTGAATCCTCACCATAATTTGGTGCTGTCACAGGTGTTTCAGCCATTCTGATGGGCGTGGAGGGGCAGGTCACTGTGGTTAAAATATGCATTTCCTGGTGGTTGACAACACTGACCGCCTCGTCACGGGCCCGTCTGCCGTCCCCGAGTCCCCTGCTCAAGGGCCCGTCACGGGCCCGTCCGCCGTCCAGTGTCAGCCTGCACTTTGACGGCTCCAGATTCTCCACCTACAGGTTCAACCTCTAACTTCTGCATCAGGTTCAACAAGCACGTGCTCTTTACTTTCCTCTAAATCTCTAATTGCTGTTGTTAGTCTCCTTAGGACTCAGGGGGCTGAAAGGGCCAAGGATCCCAGGCAGAACCCGGCCCACATCCCCCAGAGCCAGCCGACGCACGAGGACCAAGCTGCATGTGCGCCCGGCCCGGTGACCCTCCTGCACCGGGATTCACGAGTGTCACAGCGCAGGCCCGAGGAGCCTCTATTTTTGTAAAGAGAGGAACCCTTGTTATTGTGCCAGAAACTCCTCCGGCTTTTTAACCAAATCACAAACATCATCACCACCCCTTTTATCAGTTGATTCTGCTGAGGGCAGTTTCCAGCATGCGACTGGGTGGCTTCCTCCAGGGTCCCAGTGCAGACCCCCATCCCCCCATCAGCCCCCAGGCTGGGCCGCCCGTGGGCCCACAGGGACCTCGCGTCTGCTGCTTCCCTGGCTCCCCCCACCCCGCCCGAACCCCCGGGGGGCCGGTAGAGACGTGGCACGGTGGATCTCACCGCTAATAAAGGAGGAGCAGGCTTCGGAGGGGAGGGGTGCTGGGCCGTATGCTTAATTGTATGAAAAACCGACCAACTTGTCTTCTGGGCTCGTTTCACCATTGTGCACTCTGGCCAGGAGCTTGCTGTCACTTCGCGGACTGTCTTAACTTGGCCTCTAGGTGGGGTTAAAATTTGCGTTTCCTGTAACTAATGATGTTAATATATTTTCGTGTGCTTATTGGCTATTCTTACGTCTTCTTTTGTGATGCACGTTCAAATCTTTAGCCTTTTCTTAAAAAATTGAGTTGTTTGGAGATCATGAAACATTCTGGGTACAGAATGTACCCAGCTCTTATCAGATATAGGTACTGAAAAGACTGTTTCCCAGCCTGCCTTTTCATTTGATTAATATTGTCTTTAGAAGAGCGAAGACTTAATTTTGATGAAGTCCATCTTGTCAATTTCTCCTGTGACAGTTCACGCATTTTGTGCCTAAGGAATCTTTACCCCCCCGCCCCAAGGTTCCAGGGATTTCCAGCTGTGAATTCTGCCAGCTTCCCTTGTCTCTGGCATCAGTGCCTGCTGCCTGGTGTCCACGGTCCGAAAACAGCTTTTCCCTGTACCTCACCCTGTCTTCCAGTCGCGTGGGCTGGGAGGACAGGGCATTTCCTGTCGCTCCGTGGTGCCCCTCGGTGACGGGCTGCGAGCCCACCTGCTCAATCACTCGCCCATGCTCCCTGCTTGCAGCTCAGGACTCTTCCTCAGATGTCACGTGCCCTCCTGGCACCCTGTGAAGACGGCATCTGGTAGTTTTCTCACGTGCATCCTCAGGATCCCCAATGAAATCCCCTGCGAGGATGCATACCTGTGATGGCCCGGGGTGCCTTCTGGGAGCTGTGGCCATCACAAGAGGGACACCTCAGCCAGAGCAGACCTGCGTGTCTCCAAGGATGCTGCCTGAACACGGGACGTCGGCAGCTGTCAGGCAAAGGAGGGGTCTGGCTCGACCATGTGGAGCGGGTCTCGCAGAACCCTGGATGTGCTGACGCCCGTGAACGCTAAGTGGGGCCAGGATGCACGGTGCTTCCCCAAAGAACCTGCCGAGGGAGGCGTGTGGAGGTAGGGCACAGCCCCTCCCAGGACCTCAGGTATGTGGGCAGACGCAAGCGCAGGCTAAGTGAGGGGAGTGGGCCACATGCCGCCAGGTGGGCTCCAGGGGGCACTGGGGCGGCCTCGGCACGAACTTCCTTCCGTGAAGTAAACAGCAGTGCGGGTGGGCCTCCCCTGGGTCACCAGTCCCTGGAAAGCTAACGAAATGGACTCGGATAAAAGCCGTACATAGGTGGAACGGAATTCTATCAACTGTCCTGTAGTTTCTAACGCCAGTTATTCCATCGTGGAAGGTCAGTCGTTTGGCCTGGTTAGATTTTATTTGACAGAAGCACCACGTTGCCTCCCGCCCGGTTCTCTGTGCTGTCCTCTAGGTGAGGGCAGAACGCTTTCATTATTTATTTTCGAAGCTTAGCTCAGAAGCGTCGCCCTCCATTCCTGCCGGATCCAAGGACCCAATGCTTCAGACAACTACAGGCGCCTCGTTGAAGTGATGGACATGCAGAAAAACTTGAAATAAAACTTTCAGTGAAGTCTGATAATAAATAGGAGCTTTAAAAATAATGTGTGCTTATGCCGACAGGGCTCAGGCTGCAGACGGGAAATGAAATCAGGCCTAGAGTTGTAATTTCACGAACTCAGGCAGTTATTATTTAAGGAGTAATCACCACTGCCCCTTAAAATTTCCTTTTAAATTTTCACATCCATACTTTGAAAAATGGAAAGTGAGAATGGTTATGCTTTTTCTTTGGCCTCCAAGGAAGAAATGCACTGGACAAACTCAAGACATAACCAGCATTACTGTGCAAATTCTGTGCTATTTAGAGTAATTAATGTGATAATTATTGCAAAGACTTAAGCAAGCAACAGAAAAATGTAAAAAAAATTTGTAGCTTTCTGTACCTTTAGGCTTTTCCCTCTCTTCGAAGGACTCTAGGAACTCCTGCTGCGATTAAGGGCAGGCTGCCTGAACTGGCGCAAGGCCCAGCCCCACAGCCAGTTGCGGTGAAGCCTTTATTCTGACCTGGGCTTGGGGGTGGGGGAGGGGCAGTGCTTCCCCTCCGCCTCCAGGGACCTGGGCAGGGTCCGCATGAGTTCCGTGGGGAAGGATAGGCTCTAATTTCCACAAGAACCTAACCTGTTCAACAGCTCAAGCCACACAGGAGCCAGGGGAGGAGGGGAGAAACGATGGAGACCCGGGGCGAGGAGGACGGGGATCCAGCCCCTGCGGCTCCTGGGTGGCAAGCCGGGCGCTCAGGGATGTGTCCACGTGGCAGGAGAGCGGCACCTTCACCGCACACCCCCGCCACTGCCCCGGCCCCCCCACTGCCGAGCTCAGCGCCCTGTCCTCTTCGGGGCACAAGCACCCGCCCCAGGGCTCCCTCTTCCTGGAAAGCTCTCCCGCACCCACACCCCAGGCTCGGCCCACCCCTCGCCAGCCTCCCGCCGCCCCTCCCGCCTGCCCTGCGCCCCCAGACACCCCCAGAGCTGGTCCCACCAGGTCCCCAGTTCGCTCTGACATCCACCCTGATGACATGGGTGTGCAGAGGCAGCAGACGCCCTTGGCCTGGGGGGAGGAGGCCAGGACACAGGACGGGAGGCCGAGGGCGCCCCGTCACTCGCGACGGGACCTCGCCCGCCCAGCTTCGCCCTGAAATCAGTCCACGTCGCGCCCCCGATGCCTCTCGCTGAAATCGCCGGGGTTCTCGGGGTTCAGGGAGCCGCCAGGCGACACGCATGTAACCGTGCCCTTGAAGCAGGCTCCACGGGGTGCGACAACCCGCTGGCTTGTCCTCTGCCGACCTGGGAAGACGCTGAGGCCGGGAGAGGGCTCGCAGCCCCTCTGGGCGCTGGGCCCCCTCTTCTCCCTGTGACTCGGGGGCCGCACCCGTGTCCTAGGGATGCGGGGGGACGGCGCCGGGGCACGTGTGCTAACCGCCGTCACCTCACCACGCGGTCGAGAGGCCCAGCCCGCGGCTGAGGGGCTTCGCGGAGGAGAGAAGCCGCGCGCGTCGCTCGCCGCACAGCGGCCGCCACGCTGACTTTACCTGCTGGCGCGGCCACGAAGGGCGAGGGGAGCAAACTCTGGTCCACTCTTGTCTGACACAGGCCTCCCGCTCTGTAGCTTCGGCAGTGCGATGAGCACAGCCTTCGCCACGGGCCCCGGGCCGCCGCTCTGCGGGCGGGCGCCCTGAGGATGAGCTTCATTACCGCGGGAGGCCTTACGGAGTCTGTCCCGGAATGTGAGGTCCCGTGCCAGCACCACCCGTTCTCGAAGTCTCTGCTGCCAACTTCACGCCGCCATCAGGATTAACCGTGTCCGGCCAGGAGGGCGCAGGCTTCAGCAAGGGGCTCCCCAGCCTGGGAGCGACCCAGTCACCCCCCACCCCCCACCCCACCATGATGCCGCTGCGGGCTGGAGAAAGTCCCGGCTCCGACAGTTCCCGACCCAGGTGCGCTGCCCCACGTAAACAGAAATTCCACGAGAACCGTACAGCAGGGTCGTAGGAGGGATAAGTGGACATGTGCTGCCTCTGGGTGCCCCACTTCGTGGCTCCGTACACCAGTCAATTCGTCCTCAGGCTGAGTGTGCGGGAGCCACGCAAGCAAACCCCTGCTCGTGTTCCTGGGCTACTAAGCCCTCCCGACGTGCCGCTGCCACGTCTGCGCGTGATGGGCCCACTTACCCCACCATGAGGAATCCCTGGTACAGAGGGACGGACGCGAAATAGAAGACGGAGGAAAACACGGCCTGGAGGGACGAGAGCCACGCCCGTTACTCACGGTCGCCGATGCGCGCGCAGGCCGCAAGGCACCAGGTGCCCCCGCACGGCCCCTCCGGACGCCGCACCTGCATCGTGGAGATGACGAGGCCGCGGTGCATGACGAACTGGCTGAGTGCCGCCGACCGCTTGTAGCTGCTGCGCCCGTGCACCACGAGCAGGCGGCCGATGTGCTTGAACTGCGGGACGGAGAAGTCGGCCGCCAGCGAGGCCTGCCGGCCCTCCTGCGACCAAAGCAGAGGGGCCAGGCTCAGGGCCGGACAGGGGCACAGCGCGGGCCCCACCCCGGGAGCTGCCTGCCAGCGCCCTGGGAGGACCCGGCCTGGCACTGACGGTGTCACGGAAACTAAGCAGGGACCGGGGCATCTTCAAGACACTTCTCTGAACCTGCCACCCCGCCGAGCGGCTGCAGCACTGTGGCCTGATTCACGAAGCAGAGGGGCCCGGGATCCAGCCTGCGTCCAGGTCTCTCTGGGTGTTTTCACGTGAGCACAGGAGGCAGACCACAGCTCCCGACCGGCCGGGAGATCCGGACATCCGAGTACGGGCCGTGTGTGTGGGGCTGAGAGAGGGTTGCGGGGATCCGGGGAGCGGCCCAGGTGCAGCCCCGCACAGCTCGGGGACCAGGAAGGTGCCCGAGTCCCGGCAGGACGTGCCTGTCCTCTACCTGCCCTCGTAGAGCTGCTCCCTCAGCGTGTGGGTCCGCCTCCCCCCAGCCCCCGGCCACGCATGTGAGCGGGCTGACCAGAGGCCTGGCGGGGACAAGGGACAGACGCACCTTCCCCTCGATCCCGATCCCGCAGTCCGCTGCCTGGATCATGCTCACGTCGTTCCCTCCGTCACCTGGAAGCACGGAACACGGACGTGAAGTGGGAACCTGCGAGGGGCCGGCTTTCCTCGCCAACCGGCGGACGGGGTTTCAACACCCAGGAAGACAGGGGGAATCCACTGGGCGGGCGGGAGGGAGACGGGGCGCACGCCCCTGTGCGTTTCATTTCAGGAGCCCGGCTCCCTGGACGCCCACGCTCACCGATGGCGCACGTGCGTCTGCCCGTGTGCCGCTGCAGCAGCTTGGCGATGTGGGCCTTCTGTGTGGGTGCGCAGCGGCAGCAGACCACGGCCGGGCACTGGCAGGCCAGCTCCACGAACTCGTGCTCGTAGTACGTCAGGCAGACCTGGGGGCGGCAGGAGCGAGGCCGGGGTTCAGGGCACGGGCAGATGGATGGAGGACAGATGGACGGAGCCCGCACGCAGGCTGGGGGCCAGGCTCATATGACTGAGGGGAGGAGGGCTCCTCGTCTGCCTTCAGGGGGTGCCAGCACCACCTTCCGGGGTTGGCTGGAAAGGTCTTTGGTCTTTAGCACACAATACCCTCAGCGACGATCCTTAGTTCCCCATCTTGGTGGGGAAAATAAAAATTCCCCAAAGCTGCCCGAAGTCTGTGGGGTCCTGTTGCTGAGCTGGACACCCCGAGAGTCACCCCACACGAAGGACAGGAGTCAGAGATGAGGGTCCCGAGCCCCCGGGGCGCCGACTACCACCAACAGCACATCCGCCTGCAGGGGACCCGTGCGGGCACCCGTGCCCCGCGTGAAAGGGTCAAGACGCAGTCCCAGGCCGTCTGCCACCTAAAACCTGGGCGGTGAGCGAAAACCCGCGTTCACGGCAGGTACTCAGCAGCAAACAGACGGACTCAGTATCCCCGCTGAGGGGAGTAACCACTGCAGGACTCAGAAGCAGAAACAGCGGACGCTGCCTTTGGGGAGCGGGACTGGGGTGCTGGCGGGAGGGGGGATGTGCTCTCCAGCCTGCGGTTTCCCTGGGGCCGACTGGCTCCCAGGAACAACACGTGGATTTGGGGGACAGAAACAGCAAAAAGATTTCAATAAAAACACACTAACAGAAGCGTGTTTAACACAAGTAGCTACTTTTGCTCCCTCCCCAAGTCCCAACTATAGAGAGGTTTTAAAAAGGACATCGACCTACAAGGAGGGACCAGAACGGAGGGGAAATTCGCAAAGCGTTTTGGGCACGAAAGCAGACAGCCACGTGCACGAGTCTCGGCCGCTGTGAGCAGCCTGAAGCCGGCGGTGGGGCCACAGCCAAGAGCACGCGCGGCCCAGGCCCCTCACCCCTCCTCACACGCAGCCAGGGGGCGGGGGGCCAGTGGGGGGTGCGGAGCCCTTCTGCCCCGGAGAGGCCGGCCTCACCCTCTGTACGAGGGGCGGGAGGCGGAGCGAAGAGACAGAAGGCGGGAAAGGAAAGGGGGCTCGAAGGCCGGCTCAGGCCCCAATCAGTGCCGCCAGAGTTGGGAAGGAGGAGACAGTCATCCTTCGTCCCCCAGAACCAAAGAAGTGTGATCCGTGGACAGGGACTGGACCGCGCTCCTTGGCACCATCAAGAGGGCGCTGCACTGGGCAGGAGCTGGGGCTCAGGGAGCCCAGGACCGGCAGGCGCTGGACCGACTCAGTGGCCGGATGGAGGGCCCAGCCCCGGGGGGGGACCAGACACCGCGGGCTCCGGGGAGACCCGCGGGCAGGTCGCGCAGCACCGGGCACCACGGAAACAGGCGACCCAACCGTGAGCTCACAGCGCTGCGGGGATGGGGCTGTGCCGAGCCGGCGAGGGGTCCCGGGTCCCGCACGCGCAGCGGGAGGGACGGGAGCAGAACTCAGGAGCCTGCGGCAGCTGCGCAGAAGCCGCGGTGCTGACAGAGAAATGCAAACGTGAGGCCAGAGCCCGGCCAGCGAGGTGGACAGTCAGCCAGGGGCCCGCGCGGCTCCTATGAAACAACACACACGCAGTGAAGACCAGCGAGGCTCGTGGGGACGGCACAGCGGGGAGCACGGGGCGCCCTCCAAGTCCTCCATCCCGGGCACGGGCGGGCGGGAGCGCTGCCGTTGGCCCCCATTGTCCAGGCCCCGCAGTCCCAGTGGCTCCACGGAAGCAGCCACACAGAGTTGGGACGTGCGGCCCTGGCAATGCAGCAGGCGGGAGAGCCAGCCGGACATGGTGCCATCCACACGCACGTGGCCACAGAGGTCGCGCCATCTCCGCTGCTCCTGACGTCTCGTCCACCCCCCAGCACCGCCTCCCGCCAGGCTGGCCTCAGTGGCCACACTGACTGGGTCACCAGAGGCTGCGCTGCTCCGCCCAGACTTCTGGAAACATCTGAGAGAACCGTGGGCAAATGCTGCAGGGGGAGGGGCCCCCAGCACACCCCCCACCCGACGGCTCCGGCCATTGCGACCCTGGCACCGAGTGAGGAGAGGGGGCTGGACCCGAGCGGGCCGCCCAGCCCCATGCGGGGCCTCCAGGAGCAGAGGGTCCTGGGTCCCAGAGCCGCTGCTGGAAACACGCGTTTGGATAAACTGAGATCACGGCTACCAGAGCCAGGCTCCAAGGCGGCCACGCCAGGAACGAAGAGCAGGCCTCCAAGAGCCCGAAGAGCTTTGAACGAGCCCAAGACAGACCAGCGCCAAAGCCTTAATGACCAAGTTCTCACTGCGACATGGCCCTGGCCTCTTCTCAGGCTCCACCCGCACACATCACTGCTGTGAGCAGAGACGTCAAAACCAGCGGAGAGGGCAACGCAGGCTGATAACACATCTGACTGAGGAAGACCACAGTCCACCGGACAGACAGGGCCCAGCCTCACCTCCAAGGAGTCCCCGGATATGACCAGTGCACAGTCATGCTTCCTTCGAAAGGCATTCAGCTCCAAATGGGCTTCTCCCCGACTGGTTACCTCCATAAAAGGGGAAAAAGTACCCCATTATAATGCTATGTAAGTCACACAGACAAACAAGCCCTGATACACAAATCACAGATCTTTAGACACTTCTAAAACCGGAAAGTGCTTTACACAGGAAATTCTATAACAAGCTGCTCTTTCAAATTTCTTCTACATGCTGGGAATAAATACCTACTAATTTAATACGAATTGCTTTCCAACGTGTGGCAACTCAAGGCAGGAAACGTACACTGTAAAGTGCAGGACAAGTACCACAATTACAGTAAGACAAAGTGGACAGAAGAACTGGCTTGTCAAGAAAGAGGGACAAACGGCCCCCCACCACTGCCCCCCCATGAGCTAACAGGTGCCTTTGCGTAGCTGGGGAAGACAACTGGCTTTTCTCAATATACGCGGGTAAGAGCATGATGACCGTGAACTGAAAGTCTCTCTACTTTCATAGGGCAGTGGGGGGTGTGAGTGTTAACGCCAGGGATGCCGCTCTGCATAGTCACACGTCAACACACCTCAGCATCACAGCCCGAGGAAGCTGAGTTCCTCGTGGCCACACAGCAGGGAGGGTCGGAAAGACCTAAAATCGAGGTTTCATTTAAAGACACCTCTTTTCATAACGTGCCAAGTGATACAAAATGCTTTTATAAAATTGTTTCTGTTGTCTCTACCATGGGTTCCAACTTATTCTATCAGTTCAAGCAAACTGAGTTATCTGGAAGATTGAACGATGGAAAAGATCAAGTCATAATTTTGAAATATTGTTAATTTTTGAATGAAAATATTTCAGAAACCAACATACTAGTTTTTGACATTCTTTCTGTGGAGATTTTATGGGGCATAAAAGAAATGATATATTACAGGACTGAAATAAAAAGCTTCATGGGTCCAGATTAATCAATCCAGACTCATCCTTAAATAGGTAGGTTTTATTGTGGAAATTTTATTTGTGGGGCTATAACACCGCAAAGTCAACAAAAATTGATCTGAAGTTTTATCAGAATCATTAATAATTTAATTGCAAATAGTAGTCTGCAGGGCCTAATTTGTGATTCTGATGCTTCAAAATAAACTACATTTACATGTAAATTATATTCAAATCACTATTTCTATAGGTGCAAGGGCTTCCTTTGGAACAGAGACACACAACGTCTGTTCAGCTGCCATCAATCAAGACCCAAGAAACTTTTATTTTTTGTTTGAATCAAATTTCATCATAACTCGTAGATACAGTAAACACACAAATTTCGATCATTTCTATTAATTTTCTTTGATCTAACTGAGGAAGATCATTTAATCTGAAGATGGTAGTAGATTAAAAACACATTTCTACTTTGTATTTAAAGCTTGTTTCACAAAAGCAGCTTCTGGACCACATGTATTGTGTCTAACTAATAGACATGTAATTTTTTTTTTTTTTTTGGCTGCACTGCGCAGCTTGTGGGATGTTAGTTCCCCCACCAGGGATGGAACCTGGGCCCCGGCAGTGACAGTGCCAACTCCTAACCACTGGCCTGCCAGGGAATTCCCAGACAAACGTAATTTTTTATCAATACATACTTTTATAAATTGAACAGAAAATGACTGCAGTATGTCTATTTTAAAATAGATATTTAGTCGTTAATAATTCTAATAGTACAACAGAAAAATACTCTTGAATTTAGACCTTGTTTCACTCTACCAAAAGCAGCTTTTTTTTTTTTGCGGTACACGGGCCTCTCACTGTTGTGGCCTCTCCCATTGCGGAGCACAGGCTCCGGACGCGCAGGCTTAGTGGCCATGTCTCATGGGCCCAGCCGCTCCACGGCACGTGGGATCTTCCCGGACCGGGGCACGAACCTGTGTCCCCTGCCTTGGCAGGCGGACTCTCAACCACTGCGCCACCAGGGAAGCCCAAAAGCAGCTTTTTGATCACATTTAATATATGTAACTAACAGAAATCTATTTTTAACATGTTTTTATAAACTGAGTAAGAAACTTACTTCTCTTTTAAAATAGTATCTATTAATTAATAAATAACTGCGTATACATTCTCACAAAACCAGTAAGTTTCAATTAAAAACATTTAAAATTCAAAGTGATGTGGACGTACACTTACCGGCCTGAAAACGTGTGTGTCCTGTGTTCGAGACACCAGGTGAGAACTCTTGGCGATGCACGTGGCCGTCTCCAGTTTATCACCCGTCAGCATCCATATCTAGGAAACAGTTTCAGCTGGTGAACCCCAACTCTATCTCGTGTTCATCTCTGAAAAGTGTCTGCCCTTGAAAAGATATTTGCACATCCGTGTTTTCAGCATCACTATTCACAACAGCCAAAACATGAAGCAACGCATGAGTCCATGGATGGATGATGGAAAAACCAAATGTGCTCCATCCATACAATGAATATTAAAAAAGGCAGGGGATTCTGACACCTGCAACAACTATGCTGAGAGAAACAAACCAGTCACAAAAGGACAAACACTGCATGATTCCACCTGAATGAGGTCCCCAGAGGAGTCAGACTCGTAGAGACAGGAAGTAGATGGAGGGTGCCAGGGCTGGGGGAGGGGGAGCTAGCGTTTCACGGGGACAGAGTTTCAGTTTTACAGCATAAAGAGTTAAGGCAGGCGGAGGGTGCTGGTTGTTACACGACAGTGTGAATGTACTTAGTGCCACTGCACCGTGCACTTAAAAATGGTGAAGATGGTAAACTTTACATCATGCACATTTTACCACAATAAAAGTCTCTGCCAACTTGCTTAACTGAAACAGGTAAGAGCGAAGTGACGTTTGGACACAGCAGCAGAGCTGAGGCAGGTGAACGACGGGATTAGGAGCCTCGTGGCTGTGGCTGAGGAGGACGCCTGAGTATGTCAGAAGGCCACGTCTACACGGCCTTGCAGGCCAAGCAAACAGGCCCAAGGACCACAGGCCGAGGGCTTGCAGAGTTAGGGGGACCCTGACATCCTTGTTGTCACTTGTGTGAGTTTTTCAGTTGAAAACTGAGGTTCAAAATGGGTAAACGGGCAATAGTTAACCCGAAAGTTGTTTCCTATCAAATAAGTCATGTCAAATAACACCACTAAAAAAATATATTTTTAAAAAATCTAGCCCTTTTGTTTTACTTTTTATTTATTATTATTATTATGATTTTTTTTGGCCACGCCGCATGGCTTGTGGGATCTCAGTTCCCAGACCAGGGATTGAACTCAGGCCATGGCAGTGAAAGCCCGGAATCCTAACCACTAGGCCACCAGGGAACTTCCGAACACCACTTTTACTTAAAAATATTAAACACATGCACATATTGTATGTGTAAATATCCCTAGACTGAAAAGAGAGCAAAACCAGGACACTTTATACATAACAGGATGGTTTATATATCTTTTCTATAACAGCAGCAATTTCTCGCTACCATCTGATTTTTCAGATGTATCATAGGTATCATACATAAATATGCATTTTGGGGAACAGGAAACAAAAATCTTACATGGTATACTGGTTCTCTGCTTAGACACAATCTACCTGTGGCTCTTTTCAGTGTCTGAGGGTTTGTGTTTTTGTACTTATGTTACACATTAATATTCACTTTACTGAGCCTGGATCTAAGACAACGACACGTCACCGTGACAAAGTTGGGGACAATTAACCCCACAGAACAAGAAGTCCCGCTGCTGATAACTCAGGTACAAGTGTGGCCTGGCCGAGCGCCACCGCTCAGGCTCAGAGGAGGGGCGGAAACCACATCCTTGAACTATAACGGGACAAAAGAGTCTGCTTCTCCTGACGGAACATGAAAGGGGAAAATGGCAGGACCCCAGCAAGTCTTACTGACTTCAGAGCTTAGCAAGCAGCTAATACAAGCACCCAGATCTTTACACAAGAAACGTGCATGCCTCGGCTGTGTTGACAAGCCAGCAGCAACACCCAAGAGCGAGACTGACGGGAAACTCGTGAAAAACCACGATGGAATGAGCAGGTTGTCTGCCTCTAGTCAATCATGTTTCTCCACGCAAGCTTCTGGTCGCAGAGGCTTAGATCGGGTCACCATTCTGAGGCTGAACTGCTCTCTTCCACTCTGACCAGCACCTGGACAGCACACGCAGATGCCAGCGGCCGCCCCTGCCACGGCCCTAAACGGGTGGGGAGGCTCCGACATCTCCCCCACCCAGAGGCCTGGATGGCAGGGGCCCCCTTGCTGTGCCCGTCACAGTGCCCTCATCAAAACGTGCTGAGTGTATTGTTATTTGAAGCCGGCCACAGCTTTGCCTTCTGACATTTTCCTCCAGTTCTCTCTCTGCTCCAGTTAGACACAAGTATTTCTTTTAAAAGCAAGCTGTACTTTTTTCATTCTCAGTCCTTGAGGCAGCACTGAAATGCATTTTCTCAGCCATCTGTAATTGAACTTCAGCTTCAGTGAGAGCACAGGTAAGTAAGGCAAGAAAGCAGTTTCCTGAAAACTAAAACTTACACCACAACGTGCTAATCTCCCCTGGACCCGAAGAGGACAAACCGTTAGAAAAAGACAGCAGGTCAGGAGGTCAGGCAGGGAGCATCATGCGGTCTACGGGGCAAACCTCCCCACGCGGATAAAAGGCTGCCGTGGGGAGCAGCTCGGGCCGGGATAGGCCTCATGTTGCCGTGAGGACGCCCGCGCCGGGAAGGCAGCCAGGAGGACAGACGGCAGCCGGAAAGCGGGGAGCAGAGCTGCTGCGTCTGGGTGATGGGTGGGCGGGCGCAGCCCCCGGGGCGGGGCGGGTCTCCGTGGGACACGTAGAGACCTCCGCTCACCAAGGCCCTCAACCCCTCCACCTCGACGGGTTTCACGGGGCCACCTCCAGGGGGCGTCCGCTCCCTCGCAGTACCTTGATGCCCGCGTTGCGCAGCATCTCCAGGGTGGGCCGCACGTCCGTCTGCAGCTGGTCCTCCACCCCCGTCAGGCACAGTAGCTCCATCTCCCGCTCCAGGCTCTCCACCACGGCGGCCACCTTGAGCGTCCTGTCGTGGATGCTCAGCTTGGCCTGGTTGTAGCGGTTCTGAGGACAGGCGGGCGGTGCTGTGACTCGCGCAGGGCTGGCCGAGGCGGGGACACCCGCGGCGCCGCCCCTGTGCACACCGTCTCCCCGAGGCCACGGCCACGGCAGGAGGCCAGCCGCTCACCTCGAAGTCCTGGTACTGCTCGTCCGTCAGCGCCCTCTTGGCCACCACGAGGGTGCGCAGGCCTTCGCGGGCCATGTTGCCGCACTGGAAGAGAGAGGCAGGTCACACGCGGCCCGGCCGGCCCGCAGCCTTGGCCACCGCTCCCTGCAGCCACGGCCACGTCCTCCGCTAGCTCATCCCGCCAGACCCACATCCCCGCGGGAAGGGGGGAGCGGCTGGCTCCCCTGCCGCCGCGCCATGCGTCCGACCCGACCCGGGGTCCCTGCGCCTCCCGACCGCCCGCCCGCCGGGTGGGACGCGGAGGGACAATGGGCACGGCTCTCTCCCCACTACGGGAGCGACACGGGCTGCACGTGTGCGCGACACAGACACGGCCACACAAGCCGTGCAGGCGGCCGTCACGGCCACCGAGAGGGCCGGGACTCGGAGCGTCCGACCGCCGCCCTTCGGAATCAGCGATACCAGGGGGCTTGCGCCCGGCCCGGGGACACACTTCCACGCGCGTCCATCCCACCCGGCCCCGTCCGTTCAAGGGCACAGGCCCCCGTTCCCGGGTAATGGCACCTTCCTCTGACAAAGCTCATTCACTGCACTTAATGTCCGCAGGATAAACCATCCCAAGTCTCTGGGGTTCCTTTCTAATCCTCCGGGGAGACCTGATCTGCTGCCCGCTGTCACACACCAGGCCGTGTGCGGAGAGGTCCCGGCTCGCGCGCCAGCCCCGCACTCGCCGCGGCCCGCGGATCCTGAGGCCCGGCAGGCGACGCCACGGTGGCCCTTCATACCGCCCTGCTCCCCAGTCCTAGCTCCATCTCGTTTCTAACAAACACACATCTGGGGGCAAAGAGGGGGGCCTGCGCGGAGAGGAAGGGGCTGCCCCCCAGGCACCGCCGCCTCGGCTCGCGGGCGTCACGTCCACACAGAGGGTGGGCTCGTACTGCAGGCTTTACAAAATCGCCCTTTCAAAGCCGCATGACGGACAGCGTAGGTGTGTTTTGTTTTCTTGGTATTTGGGGAACACATGTTGATAACCAAGAATCCAGCTTGGGAGCTTCTGTGACACAGAACAGCCCCCTGTAAACTCAGGCTCTGAGTACCTGCTGGCTTTGGATAAAGTGAAAGGCTTTCCCCACGACAAGAGTATTAACAACAAAGACTGCGGTGGGAGGGTGTGGAAAGATTTATCGATGGGAGAAACTACAATGTTGGAAATAAATGCACAAAGGATTTTTAATAAAGTTATCTGAAAAACAGTCTGACATTATCTGTCTGTTGCAAGACATTTATCGATTTGACCTCATAAAGCTAAATAAATTAAACAAGGATTTTATAATTAATTGCACATCATTATGACCCCAAGTAATTTTTATGGCATTTTACTAGGTCTTCAGGGAGTTTAATTTATTCATGTCCCTGATTAAATCCAGTGCCTGAAGGAGCTATTGATTCATATTGCCAATACCGTCGTGGACGTGGGCTGTGGCCCCAGGACTGACAGACAGACTCCTGACCTGAAGGGGGGTGGACACGCTTGAGCCCCACCGACAACATGCACACAGTGAAGGGGGTCACGCTCATAAATTCAGCGGTTTAGTTTTACTCTGAAATCTAAGTTTTTACAAATACATAAATGTAAACAACAAATATCTCATGAAGCTAAATGCAAATTGTATTTGTTCAGGGAGAATTTGATGAAAATATAGGATTGGTTATATTTGGATCTTATCTCCATGTTTAAAGTGAATCCTATGTACATATTAGAATTAAATTCTAACTAAAATATCCTGGTAAATAATTTAGGTTACAAAATAAATATGTTAAAATATAACTCTGGTTATATGCACAATACTATTTCAGAATATTTTAGTGAATGATTAGGGATGCTTTCTATTTTTCACCAAAATAAACAAAATATTCTTCATAAGGACCCACTTGCACACATCTACACGTATTCACACAGAAACCAAAAAATAGTAGTTGTTCACAAAGAAAGTACAGTATTTATAATTTACAGTACTCCTATCCTCTCTGCTTTATGGGCCGACAGTGTCTGGTGTGAAACCTGGCATCTTGATTCACTCCAGTGACACCACCAAGTACCTACAAGTCGGAGAAAGGATGCCGTGCTTCTGTCACTGCCCTGAGTTTCGTAAAAACATCTACACAATGTGAAACAGCTCATACCTCCTCCTCCAGCCAGTCATTATACTGGACGACGGTGGACATGGCAACGTCGGCACCTTTCATATAGAACGTGATCTCTGCCGTGGACTCGTCCTGTAACAAGACGGGAGTGAACACAGACATGTTGAGGCCACGCTGCGGCTACTGGGGGGCTGCTCTAACGGGAACGCACCAGGAGAGCAATTCTCCGTGAACCCACTCCCCTGGGTGAGTTACTCAGACACCTTCTAGGCAGGGCTGTGTCCTCCCTAGATGCTCAGGCCACCAGGAACCGAGAGCATAATTGTGGCTCTCAAGATGCTGTGCTGAGAGTTTTGAAATAAAATCTGTAAATGAATATATGCCTTGGACTGCAAGGTAAATTCTCTCCAATTTCCAAAGCTTGAATGAATGAATAAGCTTCCTGGTTTAGCCAACTTCCAAGATGTATTTGTAGTATTCGCTACAAACAATTTAATAGGGGGATATTCTAGCAACTTTATGGTCATAAATCATTCTCCAGGTAAACTCTGGCTCCTACCGCTGTGGAAAACAAAGCAGCTCGAGCTGATTTCAGGAATTCACGAACATCTACTTATTCTGCCTCAGCCGTCTTAGGAAAGTTGTTTTAAATCATGACTATTAGAGCCACACCAGCTTCTCAGCATAAGTGATCAGTTTGGATTTTATTATTACAAAACACTGTGACGAGCATAAAGCCCCGGAGTGAGCCTTAAGAGACCGCTGCAGTGTCCTCACAGTGACCAGAACAGGCACCCAGCTCGGGGACAGAGGCCAGCGTACCCTGACGATGACCCCCATCCGCTTGCTCTCCGACGTGAAGGGGAAGGTCTGCAGGATGCAGTAGGTCAGGATCTGGCCGCTGGGGGTCCTCAGCTGCATGGACGTGAGGTCTCTGTTGACCAGAGTGAGGCCGACGCTCTCCGTCCACTGCACCAGGGCCACCTGCGGGAGACCAGAGAGACGTGAGGCCACTCGCTCCCTAGGAAGGGGGCATCAGGCCAGTGGTCAGCGAGCTCGCCGAGATGCCACCAAGAGACGAAACTGACCACGTCCAGGCCCTGCTGTTTCTGAGGCCGCGTCTAGTATTCGTTACAGGGAAGCGATACGCAGCGAGACTGAGGGCCTTGGTCTTACCGTCTAAGATAAAGGCCGTCGGTGAGCACACTTGTGCTGCGATTTGTGTTATCAGCTGCCTACAGCTAGGGTTTACAATCTACGCGGAGCGCCCGCCAGGCTGGATGGCTCGGAGAGCAGGTGGGGCTGGGCTCGAGGACGCCCACGACAGTGATGCCCTGAATCCCTCATGTGTCTCAATCACGGACCAACTGGCGACTGGGGGCTCCACAGCCAGCACGTCTGCGGGGAGGGCAGGCCCGGGCGCCAAGCCCGACTCCGACAGTTGGAAGCCCCGTGACCTGGTCCTTTGCATACTGAGGCTCACCTGCCTGTTCTGTGGAAGATGTATTTGCAAACTGTTCTAAAGGGGAAACGATCAGACGGGCTCCCTGGCATGTGGCAAGGACTCAAAAATAGAAAGTATTCTTACTTACAATCATTTATGATTTAAATGTAAAAATCTTAAGTGGAAAAATAATTTTTAAAGTTCACTTATGAATAGTAATTTTTATGACAATAAGCGTTTTCAGAAAAAAACTTTGTCTTTAGAAGCAACCTCACTGCAAGAAATTCATGACGTGCTGCCCCCGCCATGCAGGTGAGGACCCCGCGGCCGCAGGCAGTGGCTCCTTCCCCCTGGGGGCTCTGGGCCTCTCCTGACCCTGGCGCCTCGCCCTCACCTGCAGTTCCTTTCACCACCTGTGCTTTTAGCATTTGACTTGGGGTTCTGAGAAATCATTATCATTCAAGAGCATTTTAAATTCTGTCTAGTGTGCAGATGTTACTGTTCTCTCCTAGTCATTCCTGAAAACTCCCGTCTGACGAGATCCTCAGCAGCTCTGGTGCCGAGGTGAGACCGCTCAGTTCGGAATCCTCGAGCTGCCGTGTACCAGCTCCGTGAATCTGGGTGACAGGCTGCACCCCTAAGCCCCAGTCTCCTCGTCGGTAAGATGGTGACGACCTCCCAGGGTTACGCTGAGGTCTGACCCACCCGTGGGGCGTTTGGCACATTGATGATCAATGTCAGGGTTTCACCCTCCGCCCTTTCTCACGTAAGCCATTTAGGCGGAGCGCGAATCACTTTACAAATGAGGTTTTCCAAGTAATTTCCCACAAATATAACTGGAGAAAAGTCCTGACAAGCTTGTCAAGTGTCTGACATTGTGGTGTGGGCCACATGCTACGGGTGGACAGGGCGTCCGAAGACAGCGAGGCAGAAAAGGCCAGCGCAAGACACTTTCTGGGGCTGCAGGGGCGCCCTGTGGGGCGGGGATGCCCTGGGGCACAGCCGAGGGCAACACTTTAAGTCGCCTGTGCCGGTCCCTTGGTGCCTGGTTCCCCACACACTCCCACATGGCTTCCCTGAAAGGGGTCCAGGACAGATGGTACCCAGCCTCTCCCGGAAAGGGTGACTTTAGTTCCCAAATATTTTCTAGGATTTTGCAAAGGACCTAAACAGATGCACGGGACGACTGTTTCAGAATAGTAAAGACATACTTTTTTATACCGTTTTAAATTACAATTTCGTCTTATTTTATACGTAGTCAATGCATCAGAATTCATCTTATAAAAACTTCTGATATTTTAAAAAGTGTACATGGTAGAGTCGGCCTGCGATAAACAGGTTACAGCAACTTCGGAGAAGCAAGAGTGGGAGTGAGGGTCATGCTGAGGGGGTTCCCGGGGCCCCGGACTTGCAGCTCACTCTCGAGGGAGCCCTGCGCCGCCCAGGCCCAGGATGCACGTCCAGCAACCGCCAGCAAAGAGCCCCGGCTCGAGCCCGGCCCCCAAGCCCAGGTGGGCCAGGCCAGCTCGGGAGTGAGAGCCCACCCTGGACAGAGAAGGCGGAGCCGAAGGAAGGACGTCCTCCCCGCAGCTGGGCAGCCCGAGGGGCGGCACTCACGCACGGGAGCTTGCAGCAGAGGAGAGGACAGACCGACGCAGCACCAGACGGCCCGACAGCCCAGCAGCCGAGGCCGCAGCAAGGCCACCCGCGGTGGACGCTCCCACCCCGCTGCCCAAGGGGACACTGGCTGTGGCCACCATCCCGCCCGGCAGTGGGGTGTCACAGACAGTCCACGAGGCTGCAACCAGGGTCTCCACGAGACACGTGAGCGCAGCAGGCTCTGAAGACCGGGCCCCGCCGGACTGCTGACCCCCGTGCCGGTGTCCACTGAAACGGCTTCTTCCCAGCCCCAGTCCTGGTTTGCTGGCAGCAGTGGAGACACCTGTCAATACTCCTGACACTGGAGTCCAGCTGCTGGCTTACAGGGCAGATGACATCAGCTTTCTAGGGGCCCTGACAGCTCTGGGGTCCCACGAACACATTAAATGTGACACAGTGAGTCACCGTGGAGCTCGATTTAGAAGCCGCATGCCCTGGCTTTCCAGCGCATTACTAGGATACTGAAGCAGGCCGGGGTCCTAACATGACGCCACGAGGGTACAGCACTATAATTTAGAGCGTCAGTGATATACTCCAAATTATAGTGCTGAAAGAAGACACCTGGACGTCAGCACGTCGAGAGGGGGCAAGTCAACAGCTCTGCAACCCCAGTGCAAATGTAACATGAACGTGAAAGTCCATATGCCATTTCTATACGACTTCTCTGTGTCTGCAGATGACCCAAGACCCTAAGGTTCGTTTTCGGTTTACACAGTGAAAGGTTACTATTACATTCTGACCTGTAAATTGTATCTCCCTGCGAACACCCTCTCATCTCACTGGGTCCCGCTGCAGTCAGGACTCGAGTTTCTCTATTTGGTGACTCACACCTGTTTATTGTTTAGTTTATGCTTGGTTTCATAACCCACTGGGGGTAGCGACATATCAAAGAAGTCTGCTGGGCTTCTGCTGCCTGGCCCAGCATCTGTACAGCTGTTCCGAGTCAGTAAGCACGTCGAGGTTTCGCTACATAACGCCAACCAGGAGAAGAGCGTTCAAACACTCAACGCGACGGACGCTTCAATTAGTCTTCTAATGGCAGTTGCTTAGCGCTGGGCAGGATTCTCTCTGGTGATGTAAAATTTAACATTTCTGAACAGACTTAGAAGCCAGCAGCCACGAAGGGGGATGCGAACATGGAGAACCGCCCGCCACGCGCTCGGCACCTCAGTGGAGGCCGCCACGATGCCCACGGTGACCGGAGGGTCCCCCTGCGGCTTCGAGCTTTGCCACCTGGCCCTGGAGTGCAGCGGGGCTGGGGGAAAGCAGGTCAGGATTCGGGCTGTTCCCTCTGTACGTCTGAAATAAACTAGAGGGGTTCTTTTCAGAAGGCTCTGAGGGGTCACTTACATCCAGTGATACTGAACGTCGAAATCAGAGGAAGGAAAATTTCTAAGGAATGGGCAGTTTGACTCTATTTTCTTCCTGAGGACGTTTAAGCGATTAGACCAAACACACGTCTTGAAAGCATGACGCCGCCCCTACAGCAAAATGAACAGCACGGCTGCCGAGGGTGGAGACTTGCCAGGTGGTCGGAGCACAGTGGGGAGTGGAGGCTGTGCTGGCCAAGGCCTCCCTTGGAGCCCCACGCAGACCCGCTGGGCACAGTCCACTCGGCGTCCCCCGTGATGGAGCCGACCGTCCAGTGACGGAGCTGGACAACAGCGTGGCAAGCCTGCGAATGGCCTCAGGATGCCCCCGCCGGCTGCCCGGGCCTCTGCGGCCACACGCCACCAGCCGTCCTCCAGCCTCGCCGGGGCTGCCTGCCGGCTCCCCGTCACCTTCCCCCAAACCCCCCGCTCTCTCCACTGTGGCTCCCCCTCCCTCCACGCTGACATGTCGCCCACCCGGGCCTCCAGCAGCCCCGAGACCCCCGACGCCTGCTGTGCTCACTGCTCTACCCTCAGGAACCAACACAAGACATTTCTTGAACCAGCAAGAACTAACAATCACTGATTTAAGGTGATTTAACAGTGGCAAGTTCAACGGAACACTGAAGACAGGCGTGAAAACACAGCTGGAGCAGTGTTTGGGCGCTGGCTCGTGTGAGGCAGTCGCCTAGGACCCAGGCAGCGATGGGGATGAAGCACGAGTCCAGTGTGATCTGGGCTTCAAGCGTAAGAAACCTGATTCTCGCTCTGGGATTAGTAGTTCACCTCTAACCATTCCTTAACATGCAAAATGCCAGTCACCCGAGTGAAGCACAAAGCCTTGCTCTTTTATGGCTTTACACAGTCCACATTCACATCTGCTTTTGGTGATGCAGTCGTTCAAATCTTCTGCTTCTGTTTAAACAGAGTGGCCGTTTTCTCATGATTGAGTTTTGGGAGTTCTTTACCTATGTTGGTTACCAGTCATTTATCAGATATGTATTTTGCAAACATATCCTACTAATCTGTGGCTTGTCTTCATTTTCTTAACAATGTCTTTCGAAGAATGTAGGATTTTTACCTTTAAGTCTAGTTTATCAATTCTTTTCTTTTACAATTTGTACTGTTTGTGACCTACAAAATCGTTGCCTAACTAACTCAAGCCTACAAAAGTTTTCTTCTAGAAATTTTATACTTTTGGTTTTTCATTTAGGTCTATGACCAATTTGAGTTAATTTTTAAAAGAGTGAGAGAGATTAGTTTAGGCTCTTTCTGCATATGGCTGTTCAAATGTTCTGGGTCCCCTAGAGAAATGGAAATTAAAAACAAAAATAAACAAATGGGACCTAATGAAACTTAAAAGCTTTTGCACAGCAAAGGAAACCATAAACAAGACGAAAAGACAACCATCAGAATGAGAGAAAATATTTGCAAATGAAGCAACTGACAAAGGACTCATCTCCAAAATTTACAAGCAGCTCATGAAACTCAACATCAAAAAAACAAACAAC